CTTTGTCAGGTAGATCAGCAAGTTATCAATCTACAATTGCAACTGAAGAGATGAGAGGTAGTATGTGAAAACTGCTGGATTTTAAAAGTAAATTAAATATTTAAACCTGAGCATGACACTAAATGGTAAATGGATTGCATTGCTAATGAGAAAAGTTGGGGGTGCAAAGTTAATTCTGTTAGTTTACCTTCCTAAAAAAAAAAAATAGCTCTGGAATATTGCAAGCCCTTGATAAACAACATACAAGACTGTATCTTTATTGATAACCATGTAACCAGATTTTAAAATAACAATTTACAGACCAAGTCCTAATCAAACAAATTTTAAAGGCTTTTCTAACAACATGAATTATTTTCATGGGCAATTTCCATTCTAAATGTGGATTGAATAATTTAGTGGTAAAATGTGAAACTTCAAAATGAGAATTGAATTGTATCTTTGTTCCCTCAATTCTTTTTTTGACTGCACTGAACGTTGACTATCCTTGTAGAGGTATTTAACTGTGTTTAAAGCCTTAACTTTGTTCTGCAATGCAGGGGATTAACGGTGTTTAATTTTAATGTGTTAAATGTCTTGAAGATTTTATTAAATATTTTGCCAGTTAATCATTTTATTGAACTACTCTTTACCTACTCAATATCTGTAAATGCATAAATACAAAAATTCAGCGATGTTGCTCATGTCATTTAAAATTTTCCCTTCTCATCTCATCTTTAAAGCTATGTTCCCTATCTAAGATGGGCATAACCTTTCTATCTATGTCCATCAACTTAAAAACTTAATAAAAACCAAAAGAACTGCAGATGCTGCAAATCGGAAACAAAACCCAAAATTGCTGGAAAAGCTCAGCAGGTCTGGCGTCATCTGTGGAGAGAAATCGGAGCTAACATTTGAGATCGTGACCCTTGTGTTCTGAGGCAGGGTCACTCGACCAGAAACGTTAACTCTGATTCCTCTCCACAGATGCTGCCGGTGCTGCTGAGCTTTTTCGGCAATTTATTTTTGTTTCTGAATTTTAAAACTTCACCTCAGCTTGTCTTTTTAGTTTTATACAGAAGCAGCAGATTAAAAGAAACCAGTTTTAAATAGGGACCAAGTAGAGGCAGATAGCAATGACATGATAACAGTAATGTGCACATGTTCCTTGTTTTTTGATTAGGTAAATTTGAGGTCTTCAGTTGGATTCAATTCTGTTATTAAGCTGGCTCACTCAATGTCAGATTTACAGTAGATTGGCGTTAACTTATAAGGAAATTGGAAGTATCTGAAAAGTAAATTGTAGGACTGCCGGGAAAGGGAGGCAGAATAGAATTGTTTAAAATTCTGACAGGACTGGATAGGGTAGGTGCAGGGAGGATGTTCCTGATGGTGGGTGTGTCCAGAATCAGAGGTCACTGTATGAGGATTTGGAGTAGATGATTTAAGATGGAGATGAGACCATCTTTCACCCAAAGTGGTGAGCCTGTGGAATTCATTACCACAGGAAGTAGTTGATGCTAAAACATTGAATGTATTCAAGAAGTGACTAGATATGGCACTTGGGTCAATGGGATCAAAGGTTTTGGGGAGAAAGCACGATTAGGCTTTTGAGTTAGACGATCAGCCATGATCATGAAGAATGGTGGAGCAGGCTCAAAGGGCCGAATGACCGCCTCATGCTCTGATCTTCAGTGTTTCTATAACTCTGGTAAAGAGTTGGCATAGACTTGCATTGAATGGCCACTTCATTTGCGACATCCTTTTTCTGGTTCGACTGTCCTCATCCCTCTACCACCAAGACTGCTTTGAAATGGACGTATGTCAGGACTGACCTGTACCATTTTGGTGTTGATTAGTTTTCGTTTCTCCCTCATACCCAGTGATATCATTCCAGTCTATGCAATTTCTTATGCTATCAACATGTCGGTCAAGGTGCCTTTTAGACATAAGTATTGCCTTTTGATTTTAAAGAATTCCGTGTTAAACCTATGCTAATGAGTCCTGTGTGATGAATTAGAATCCTGATATGGCTAATTGCATGTTTGAATGTGTAGGAGTAATGGTCCAATTAACAGGGTATGTACTACTTTTCTGTTCGTTCAGTAAGTAGCATATTGCAAAGTGGTGTGCATGAGTGTCATTTCGTTATGTGTTTTACTTCCTTGGGTGAAAATTTCAAACCTCAATACCAAGAAGTCACCAACGTTTGTAAGAAGGGTGTGCTGGTCAGCTTGATAAATTTGAAAAATTGCTAGCAGTGATCCCAAGCAATAATGAGCAGTTTCAGTAGGCATGCATGTGGCAGGACAAACTGCATTCACCTGCGTTTTCGATGGAGCGTAAGAGCAAGGGCACATGTTGAGTCAACATTCTCGGCAACCTCTGAAGTTCAGGTATTGTATACAGCAACTGAACAGAAATCCCGACGCTGCTGTAGGATCTATATGATTAAATTCATGGCAAAACATCCAAATTCCATACCGGTGCTACATTTAAATTTAAAGTTGAAGCATATTGTATTTTCTACTCCAGTTAGTACACGTGGCCAAATTGGTGCCACTGCAGCTAGTTATCAGTTATTGTTGGACAATAGATTGAGGCCAAATGTCTCCAAGCCGTCTACTATGGGTGGATTGCTTCAAACTTTTCTCTGTTGTAGGATGTAGGCAAAAATACCAGGCTAAGTGATGTGCAAGTGGTGGAATGAAGTGATCCACATGCTTGTGAGCTCTCTAATTTTAATCTGTTGCATTTTATTACCTGAATTTCTTGAGTTATTGATCAGTGTTGATAATTGTAAAATGTGTATGGATTGCATTTCTAAAATAAACACTTTTTTTAATTGAAATGACTCACTCTATTTGTTGATGCTACTTGTAAGAAATGGACACTTGTGACTGGTTAGGAGCCAAACTCTCTAAAGCTAACATTTGAATTGGTGATGGAGTTAAATGGGTGCATGCATGACCACTCGCATGTACAGTTGTGATCAGTAAAGTAGGATGCAATCGCAAAAAGATGCAGTGGTTTTAATTTTCCAAAATCGTACTAACTCGGTAAAGGTCTCACCAGATTGGAAAATGGTGAACACAGCTCCTCTATTCGAGAAAAGGGGAGCACAGAAAGCAGGAAATTACAAGCTAGTTATCTTATAATCCATCATATGTAAAATGCTGGAATCTTGTTATTAAGGAGGTTATAGCAGGGCACTTCGAAAGTCTTAATGCAGTCAGGCAGAGCCAGCATGGTTTTGTGAAAAATCTAGTTCATTGGAGTTTTTCTGCTTGTTACTTCCTCAATGCGGATAAAAGGGAACCTGTGGATGTATAGTACTTGGATTTGCTGAAGATATTTCAAAATATGCCACATCAAAGGTACATGCAAAATAAGAACTCAATAACTGTAACAGCATGACTAGAGGATTGCTAACTAACCAAATAGGCATAAATGGGTTATTTTTGGGTTGGCAGGATGCAGTGAGTGGAGTGCCACAGGTCAGTGCTGCAGCCTCAACTATTTAAAACTATATTAATGGCATGAAAGACCATACAATAACTATATGGCTAATTTTGCTGATGGGAGGTAGGATAAAAGTAGAAGAGTACATTCTGAAAATGTAAGTAGTTTGTAGAGGGAAACGAATAGATTAAGTAAGTGGGCAAAAAAATTGGCAGTGCGAAAATGTGGAAACTAATCCTCTTTTCTTAGGGAGAAAATGACAGTAGCACATATAAATAAAAAGTGATTGATTGTAAACTTGAGGTATAGAGAGATCTGGGTGTGCTGGTACATGAATTAAAATATTAGTTCCAAATGATCACAAAGGTAAATAGAATGTTTATTGCAAAGGGAATGGAATGTACAAGTTTGTCTACAGTTAGATAAGATGTTGGATGGAGCCACATTTGGACTACCATGTTCGGTTTTGCTTTCCTATTAAAGGAAGAAAGCATATAAATGCATTAGAATCATTTCAAAGAAGGTTCACTTAACTGATGCCCAGGATGGGGACTTTGAAGAATTGTTTGACAGGCTTGGCCTGTATCCATTAGAGTTTAGAAGAATCCAATGCGATGTAGTAAGACAAACAAGATCCTAATGCTGAAAGGATTCTTCTCCCTTGTGGGAGAGTCTAGAACTAGGGAAATATCTTAAACATAAGATGGAGATGAGATGACCTTTTTTGAGCTTTTGAGAATCTTTGGAACTTCTTCAGAAACCAGTGGAGGCAGAGTCATTGAACATTTTTAAGGCAGAGATAAACTCTTGAGGAACGAGGGTTCAAGTGTAGGGGGGAATGTGCAGTTGAGATCATAACAGAATCACCATGTTCTAATTGAATGGTGAGCAGGCGCGACAGCTGAATAATCTACTCCTGACCCTAATCTGTATGATTGTAGGATATACATAGCCTTGCCATCAGTTCTTTTCCCTGTGTTGCTCATGTTGAAGGAATTACTATGAGGTACTGTGCACGATGGGGTGATTGGAAACCCTGCGCAGATATTTTAAGTTTCCTTTCAATTTTGCCTTCTCTGGCTCCAAATGAAAATGCTGCTGTTGTTCCATCCAAGTACACTATCACATAAGTAGTGTAGAACCTGTTGGTACGATTGCATGGAGGTTTTGATCGAGACATTTTCTGGTGGAGCCAGATAGATGTCTAACTTTAATTGTGTCTTAACATATTTTGTTATGATATTTGTGCACCTACTCGGACTTGATTGTTTTCAGTCCACAGTCTTTCAAATTTTCCAATTGCCAAAAATCTTAAGATTATGACTTTCCCTGTGGAACTATGATACTGCGTAAACCAGAATTCATGTATAATTGAGCCATCAGAAATAAAGGTTTCAGCTCTGAATTTGATGCAAGTTCACTGAAGGTATGTCAGTTAGAAGCAAGATTAATTTCCATTTATTTTCAAAACGAAAAAATTTAGCAAATCTTTTACAGCAAGATTGAAGTACTCAGTTTTATCAATTGAATGCACAAAATAATATATTTCCTCCCTTTCAAAGGCATTACATTGTGTTGCTGGCAAGTGCCCCAACGGAAAAACAGCACTTAGAGTGGTAAGTTCTGGAGCCTGTTGCAAAAAGCATTTCCAATTAGTTGGGTTGTTATGATTGTGTGTAGACAAAGCTACTTATCCCCAGTTCGTATGAAAAGGACTTTCAATGTAATGATTTAGCACTTTTCTAATTACAACTTTTTTTACAAATTTTGGGTGCACAGATGTGCACTTATCATAGCTCCAACAGTTGAGTAGCCTTGGCATCCTGGTCACAGTTGAGGTTTTCACATGGAATAACCACTGACGTGAGATACCAAATGGTTATTGGCACCCCTTGAATCATGGGTGGGAAAGGGTGAACATTTAAACATGAAATAACTTGTGGAATCCATTTGCTTGTGTTCCTTGGTGAGTATGCCTTTTCTAAATGAAGTCAGAATGGTCCATGCTGAGAACAGTGTAGTCAAAAATTAGTAGCTGACAAAGGATGGAAGTTATTTGCAAAATAACGGGAAAATGTTGGTTTGTTTAGCTCCCTGTGCACCTTGTATTAGGGAGAAAAAGATTGCTTCAGAGTAATTCGTAAAAGTGTGTGTTTAATCCACATTTAGAGCTTCAGTGCAGAAATGTAGGCTAATGTATTGAATGAGAACTGTGCTGTTTCTGATGAAACAAAAATCAGCGTCCCACATCCATGGCACTGTTTGCAGAAGAGTAGGGAGCTATTTTGATGTCTTAACAAATATACCACCCTTTATTGTTGCCATCAAAATTAGGTCAACTGTTTTGGGACCTCGTGTATATCAAGTGCTTCATTCATCTACAGAAGTTGCTGCATTCTCAAGTAACTGATTTCAACGGGTTAAATGGCTTAAGCCAAATGATAAGCCGGTGTAGAAGTGCAAGCTTGTTTTACACTTAAAGTTGCATTTACTCATTTCTTGGTTGTATTACTCAACCCTGGAATGCTAACATTGTTTAAGCATTAAATGGAAACTGGTTTTAGTTTGAACCTTGACAAAATGCAGCGCCATATGTAGTTTGCTGGAGCTCCTGATTTTCACTCAGTAACAATTTTATTTTGTTTAGGGTGGGCTTGGTGGAATCCAAAATCCGAATCCTTATTAGCAGCTTAGAAAAGAATGAGTTCATTACTCTGGCTCACGTTAATCCGCAGTCATTCCCAGCTCCCAAAGACAATCCTGAGAAGTAAGTAATTGAAGTGTTTTTTTGTCCATTTTAAGGCTTATAGTTTATTTTAAATTATTATTGAACAAGAGAATAAAAATGTAAGATTAAGTGCTTAAAGGTGTTAATGTTAGAAGGCTTGACTTGAAAGGTTTGCAATGCTTTGCAACATAACTTGTAATATATAAAATTAAGAGGAATTTCATGCTATGCTTTTCTGTTTCAGGGATGAATTCAGCACAATGTGGGTCATTGGAATAGTCTTTAAGAAAGTGGAAAACACTGAGAATCTGAGTGTTGACCTCACTTATGACATTCAGTCATTCACAGATACTGGTAAGTGATGTTTGTGGTCTTACGAATGCTGCAACTGTTAATGTGCAATAAATTCAGCATCTTACAAACTTATACCAGAATTATTATTACCAGCATTATGGTGGCTCAGTAGTTAGCATTGTTGCTTCACAGTGCCTGGGACCCAAGTTCAGTTCTAGCTTTTGGTAACTGTGGAGTTTGCATGTTCTCCCTGTGGCTGCACGGGTGTCCTCTGGTGCTCCGATTTCCTCCCGTAGTCACAAAGATTGACCGTGCTAATTTAATCCAGGGATATAGCGGCTAGGTGGATTAGCCATGGTAACTGCAAGGTTACGAGATAGGCTAGGGGGCTGGGTTTGGATGGGGTGCTGTTTGGAGGGGTTGGGTGAAGTTGATGGTTTCAATAGCCTCTTTCCGTAAGGATTCGATGATTCTTAACAAATATTGTTTCATGCCAGAAATCCAAGCAGAAACACATTGTAGGAGAAAATGAGCTGTTGTTTAATAGTTTAATTTATTGATGTTTTGGCAGAATTCAGTAAGTCACTGAAAGCTTAAATGCTGATGCATCAAGCAATTAGTAAGGCAGATAATATGTTGGCCATTATTGCGAGTGGTCTTAAGAATGAGTAAAGATGTCTTGCTTTGAATAAAGTAGAATCTTGAGACAGTGTCAGGATTATTGAGTGCTGTTTTGGGCATCTTAATCAGGGAGAGACATAATTGCCATAAGAGGAGTGTAACAGAGGTTCCCGAGACTGATTCCTGGGATGGTGGGGTACCTTTTGAGGAGAAATTCAAGCGACCAGCCTGTTTTCTCTAGAGTTTAGAAGAATGATTTTATTGTATTGAAACTTGCAAAATGCTTACAGAGCTGTGGTTTAGAACCAGGGAGCAGTCTGCGAATAAGAAGCAAGCTGTTTAAGACTGAGGACTAAAGACCAAACGAAGCTAAACTTAGCAGATATTCTTCCAATAAAGTCACCCCTTTTGTGACAGAAGAATTTTTGACCATACTTGCTCCAACTGACTTGCAGATGTCAGTTATCTGAACCATACCTTTGTATCTGAGAGATGTCAGGTTCTAGTCCTGCTATCATTTAATGACTAAGGTTCAGCTTTAATACAATACTTTAGGATTTTTGTATTTTCTGCATTATGTAAAGATTGTACCTTTTTTAATTTACTTCATTTTTAATTGTGGACTGAGTTAGGAAAAGGACTGAAGACAAAATTGTTGTCCTTCTAAAATGTGAGTTACCGAAAATTTCGTCATGTTGACACTGTTGCTTTAAGATCGACAGAGGATAGTATAAGAGGGTGTGTATACAAAGTGAGATTCGGCCAGCAACAGGTTACTGATTGGTTTGTGTAATTGTGATCAGTTGTGGATGCCAAAGCTTATCAGCCTGATAACAACTTTCACTTGTTGGTTTGAGGGTGTGAACAATACTGAGAGAAACCCTCAGAGCTCTGGAAGAGGAGATGGTGAGCATGTGTCTGTCTGCCTCTCCAGTCATATACATGACTGAAAGAAGCTAGATTTCTCCCCATTACTGTAAGCTGTTGCTTTTCAGCAATAAATCAGAGACTGTGGCTCCACTGAACAACTGAAAGAACTTAAAGGAAAAGCTCAACCAAAGGACTAGGGAATCGAAGTGAACACCACCTGAATCCTGAGGACTAGTGTCACTGAACCGTTGCCCAAGTAATTTGTTTTTCCTCCATCCATAACACCAAGGTTTATTGCCTGTCTATGTAGGAGGCTTTTAGAAGGAGGTTAGAGTTTTAAATAGTAGAATTACATGTTGATATGTTTAACTGTAATAAAAATTATACCATACAGAAGAGGCCTTTGGCCCATCGAGTCTGCTCAACCAAAAAAATACACTACTATCATGACAAGTCCCACTTTCTCTCACGAGGCTCATAGCCTTGAATGTTATGACACTTCAAGTCTGCATGGAAGTACTTTTAAAGGTTAAAGTTACCCACCTCAATTACCCTCCTAGGCAGTGTATTCCAGACCACCTCCATCCTCTGGGTTTTAAAAGAAAACGTTTTCCTCAACTCTCTTCTAAATCTTCTGCCTTTGATTTTCAAGCTACCTCTTGTAATTGATCCAACAAATAAGGGAACAGCTGCTTTCTATTCAGCCTGTCATCTCATATGCCTCTATCAGGTTCCCCCTTCAACCTTTTCTGCTCCAAAGAAAACAACTTGAGGCTTGTCCACCCTGTCTTTGTAGTTGAAATGTTCCATCCCAGGAAACATCCTGGTGAATCTCTCCTACAGTGCAATCATATTCACACAGTAGTGTGATAACCGGAACTGCACATGGTGATCCAGCTGTGGCCTAACCAAAGTCTGTACAGCTGCAACATGACAGAATCTAATACAAAGTTGCTGTAAAAACTCAGCAGGTCTGGCAGCATCATTGAAGGAAAAAAGAGTTAACGTTTCGGGTCCGGTGACCCTTCTTCAGAACCTCTGAAACGTTAACTCTGTTTTTTCCTTCACAGATGCTGCCAGACCTGCTGAGCTTTTACAGCAACTTTGTTTTTGTTCCTAATTTACAGCATCCACAGTTCTTTTGTTTTTTTTATTTTAACAGAATCTATTGACTTGTAATAATTAATCATTCGTGGTAAGCACAGAAACTTGGTCTGTTTTCTGTTATCCAGGGTCTATCAGACTGGTAAATTGGGGATTTTGTGTGCTTCTGTTAAAACACTTTAAATTTTTGTGATGACCCTGGGAATAATAGGGCTTGTTGTCCAGCATGTTATGCCAATGAGACATAAGTGGCTCCCATGGTTTTTGACTGTTTCATGTTAATAGCACAGCAGCCCAAATGTTCAGGAGCTCAAGTGGGCCTCTTTAAGGTGCTGCATGCAGAGAAATTCAAAGTACCATGCCCTTAAATTAAAATGTCATTTGCTACCAAACATGATTAAGTAGGTATGATCTCGACAATGTCTGAACGTTGTCGACCAAGCTCCATTTTCCGTGGTGACAGCTCCTGTACTTTGCTATTTGCTGTTTGAGCAGTTGAGAGAAAATCATGCTTTTGGCACCTCTTCTATAGGAACCTTTGACAAGGATGGGACCTTTTGGTCAGTTTTAGTTGCAAAGTAATTCAGTAGCAGAAAATTAATTTCACCTACCGTTACAGTTTATAGACAAGCAATGAACAGCAAAATGTTCGAAACAGATATGAGGATTGCAGCAATGCATGTGAAAAGGAAACAGCTCCATTTGCTTCTACCTAGTTATGTCCAGCAAAAAAAGAAAAAGGTAATTTATCACATAATTTATTATACTTAAATTGAACTGATCTGTAAATGGAATAATTTTTCTCCCTTGTCTGTTAAGAAAAAGCATCTGCTAAATTAGTGCGCCATATTAAAGAACAAATAATAGCAAGGTAAATTGAATCTGTGGCTGCGTTGCATTGTCACCTCTCGTATATGCCATCATCCTTTGTAAATAAATTACTTTTGTTCAAATGCAGTAGTAATATTGGGTTTAATTTCTGTCTACTGAAATTATACCTTTAGTTGTTCCATGGAAACTATTTTGTTTTACTTGATCATTTGACAATTATTAAAAAATTATGTTGTACTTCTGTTTCCATTCAGTCTATCAAACCACTGACCAATTAGTATCAGCTTTTGTTGATTTTTTTTTTATAATATTAGTCCCAATTATGAATAAGATTATAAGATTTATTTGAATAGTATCCAGCAGGGGGATATATTAAATTCTCTGCATTGATGGAATTTAATGTTGAATTATCAGGCTACACTAGAGCATTGATTCTTCCTTACAGTGGAAGAGGGAAAAGCAGGGGTAAGGGATATAAAAAAAACTTTGTCTGCAACCAGAAAGTATCAAGGGATTTGCTACCCCATAAGATTCAATGCTTGGAGGAATTGAGTTCCCCACATATTGCACCAAGTTTTGCTATGATACAATTTTGATTGAGGCTGCCATATCCTTTGCCTTATTATGAATCAAAATCAGACACATCATATTCTTGGCTAATTGTACGATACTAGTCCTGAAACCTATTGAAGTGGATCTTGTTCTGAGGAGGCCTGGCTTATGGTTTAGTTTCTTTCTAATTTATTTTTATTTATCTCACCAGATAATTATACTATCACCTTTGAAAGAAGTTGATCTGTTGCTGTGGCCAAGACCTGTCAAACTTAATTTTTTTTAATATTGTTTTTCCCGCTATGCATAGTGCTTTACAAAATGTGCCAAGAAATGCGGATTCTGAATTTGCTATCTAACTTTGCTGAAACTACTTTTTTCATCCAAAGCATTCATTAGAGGGGAGCAAAGCCAACTGTGATGATGAAAATAGCATGGAAGCTTCTCTGGACAGTGACCACAGCTTGCTAGTGCCTTCTAGTCCATTACAGAATTCCAGCAGCCCACAGAGGTAACACAGATGTTACTTCCTGCGTTTGTTTTTAAACAAAGGTTTTATTGTAAATCTATTGTCTTGGCACCATATCTAGAATATGGCTTTAGAATTTAAAATCGTGTAATGTGAAAAGCAATGGAAAATTATGGGGATTTGTGGTGGAACAAACTCCAGTGGACCTATAAAACATTAATCTTCATAGATAAACTAACACATGCATGTGATCTCATCTGTGGCAACTTTTCATCTTGAAAGGTGACGGTTTGAGTTATGGTAGTCAACTGTATTAAGTAACACCCGGTGTGAAACGCCACTCTGACGTGGCAGTCTCTGCAGTATTTACTGAAATGGAAGATAATGGGCTGAGAAGGTGCACAATTGTTGGCCTTTGTTTCCTTAGAAGCCCCCTCGTGAGTTTGCCACTGCCTGTCTCTCCCAAAGCTTCTCTGAACAGTCAGCTTCCTAGAGGTGATGGCCGATAGCTAAAGTCTCCTAGTTGTCAATGTCCACTATCCTTACTTACAGCTGTCCTTGTTACACAGGTAAGGTCACCCAGAAGGTTGTGACCCACTGGCTAGTTCACCATACAGAACGTCTTTGGTTCATCCATCCAGTGAATCTGGTTAAGCCAGCACAGATGCTGTTGGCTTAGCAATTGGTATATGCTGATAAAATTAGCGTTCTCCAGGACTTGTGATCTTGTGACTGTGGCCTGCCAAGTGATGCCAGAATATGTCAGAAATAGTGAAGGTTGAACCTTTTCTCTTGGCTAGTATATTTATATGAAGAGTGTGCTGAGGAATCAGGCTCAGCAGATCTAGAGTTTGGTGTTCTCAAGTTAACTTTGCATAAGCTGCAGTTCTTGTGCCTGTGGTAATTTCAGAACAACGAAAAACTGCAGACGCTGGAAATCCAAAACCAAAACAGAAATTGCTGGCAGCATTTATGGAGAGAGAAATAGTTTTGGGTCCAGAGACCCATCTTCATAACTGATTGTAGCCAGGAAAAGGTTGGTATTCATAAGGTTCGCACAGTGGCTCAGTAGTTAGCACTGTGCAGACTCCACATAGACATTCTCCCAGTGTCTGCATGGGTTTCCTCCATTTGCTCCAGTTTCCTTCTGCAGTCCAAAGACATGCAGGTTAAGTAGATTGGCAGTGTTAAATTGCCCACAATATCCAGGGATGTGCAGGCTAGGTGGAATAGCCATGGGAAATATGGGGTAACGTGGATAGGGTAAGCTGGTGGGCCTGAATAGGATGCTTTTAGGAGGGTCCGTGTGGACTCTTGGCTGAATGGCCTGCCTCCACACTAGGGATTCAATGATTCCCATTCTAACTATTCTTATCCATCATGCCCTCGTGTAATGAGGGGATTGCATTGAGCAGTTTTGACTGTCAGCCAGCTTTTTCCAACTTAAGTTTAAGTAGATGGCCTCTGAAGTGATTCACTGCCTTAACATTGAGGAAGACCCTGTATAGTGGTCTCTATTTCTCTTGCAGCCACCAATCTGAAGATCTTCCAGTGCTGAGAAAACACCGGCATTCAGGGCAGATGTGTTCGGCTAGGATTTGCAGTCTGACAAGGACAAGCTGGGCAAATCCTTCTCCAGTATTGCTCAGCAGGAAGTTCCCTATTGATCGTATTTACTTATTCTTGTCTATAGGACCACAGTCTTCACATTGCACATCTGGGGTTGGTGCCTGCCTCCCTCCCTCCCAACAGTCGGAGTAAACATTTTCCAGTGCTGCAGGAGGAGTGGCTTCCAATGCTTGGTGAATTCAGGTGGTGTAGCTACATCACCTATCGCTTTGCCCATGTCAAAGATGTCACTGGTTTTGCAAAGCACCTTCAATGCCCAGTTTTCTGTGATGTCTAGAACATGTCATGACATTGTTCTTCCGAGAGTACAAGTTCAGGTAGTCTTCAAGCCATCTCTCGAACTGCAGTTAGTGATGATCTTGCTTGCCTTTGTTTTCAAAGGGGTTATTTTCTTTAGAGTCTGTTTCATTTTGGTCCCTTCGTAATGCCCCGAGCAAACGTTGTATTGAAAGATATTCTGGATGTTCTAGCAAAGTTGTAACCAGTCTTAATTAGCACACTGCCAGGCAGTCTGTTGGACTCATTTCAAGCAACTCTTCATTCAGTGTCTTGCTCAGATCTGCCATAATTAGTCTGGACCATTTGGCTTCAATGATTGATTCCATTGTGAACTGTGAAACACTCGGTTGTATTCTGCTGTTGCTTCCCATATATTGAAAGTGCAATATTATAGATGGTGTCTTGAAGTATGTTCCATTTTGTTTCTGTGCTCTAATGTTGGAATGCTGTGAATGTGAGTTCAATTGAATCGAGGAGCTTTTGGCTTATTATTTGGATAAGCAATGTTGCTGACCTTGATGTATCCTCATTTTGCTTTGAAAGAATTTAAAGGATTGCATCCTAACCCTGAAGCACACCAGGTATTATCGTATATTAGTATGTGAAAGTTGTCTGAACAGTGTCATTTCTGGTGATCCTGCTGCTGCCAGTGACCTATTGCATTAAGGACATAGGTTGTTCTGAAAGGTTACAAAGCACATAGCAGCAAAGTTCAAGTAGCATCTGCCCATTCTCATTACCTTTGCTCGTCTGTGATGTCCAACACAGGAAGGCCATTCATCATGATCCACACAGAGCAGTGTTCATCAGTTGGAAGTTGTCTGTTGATCCGTCACCCACGGTTCTGACTTACTAGCTTGACAGTTACGTAGTTGACGTCTTTGTTTTGATTTGTTTGTTTATGTAGTGTAATGGATTGTATCCACCTGAGCAGAGACCAACTCCAAGCACCCATTGCAGAAGATGGAGTCTGGGTCAGCATCTTACACAAGAAGGGTTGCCCAACTATTGTGGCTGACCAGTGGGACATAAACTCTCCCACCATCCAGGGCACACAGCACCCATTCTCTACAATAGTCAAGTCAGGCACGTTAATCTTCTGCAATAAAACTGCAATGTCCTCTGGATAAAAGTGTGCATTATGTACAGAGATCCTGAGCTGCCCAAATATCAAGCCTTCCTCTCAACCTCTTCAGTTGAGTTGAAAGGAATACAAAGCACTACATATGACACTGACTTGCTGCAAAAGTTGTTGGAAAGATGACAGATTTCAATATACCTCTACCTTAGGTCTCCAGTTCAGATTTTGTTTTTTGTCGAGGTTTACTCCACCAGCCTTCAACTCTTTCAAGATGTCCACAAAGCAAAGTTATGCCTGCAGCTGTGGGTTTGCTTTAAGAGTACTTTTGCCCACATTCCAGTGGGCTTGGACACTGAGGCTCAACCTCCTCTGAGGCTTTACACAGGGGCCAGGAAAGACCCTGTTTCTGTACGTTTTCATGAGGCGTTGTTGTGGATCTACTGATGGAGAGGTTGTGTGCACTGACTGGGAGAGGCTTACACATTTGGCTTTCTTTCTCTTGCCCTGCTGCTAGACAGCACTGCAGCCTGAACATGAAGAGCAGATTATTACACTAGAACAAAAATGTTATTTCTTATCACCGACACAGCAGATACTTCATACTGACCTGTTGGAGACATGACTCCGAGATCAGTTACTCTATTGGAGTTCTTGAAGCTAATGTACAGACATGGTAATTGAAAATTTCTGAACTAAAACCCTTATAGGGTAACCCAGTCCTCTACCTGTGAAGCATCACGTAACAATTGTTGGTTGAATTGAGATGCATGAAATTTAGCAAGTCTGAAGTGATTTTAAAATAAAAGCACATGAACCCTCTTGGATTATTATTGTATTCTCTTGCCCAAAAGGATGAGGGGTCTAGATAAAGCAGGCAGGGAAAACTGGTGGAAAGATGAAGGAGAGGACAAAGAATTTAGTTAAATGGAGTAATGAGAAACATATTCATACAATTCAGATCTAGAATGCCTTGTTCGCTGATGTGGAAGTGCCGGTGTTGAACTGTGGTGAACAAGGTCAGAAATCACACGACACCAAGTCCAACAGGTTTGTTTGAAAACGCAAGCTTTTGGAGTCACAATCCTCCTTCAGGTGTTAGTGAGAGAGGTAGTATCAGACTAAAATAAAATAGAATGTATCTGCAAATACAAATTCACCCTGTGGATTCATGTGTGTGCATGTACGAAAGGGGGCGAGAACATGTGCCGAAGAGTAGTGTGGTGCGTTACCTGTAGTGCGACATGAACCCACATCTCCCGCTCCCGCACACGCATATGTGAATCTGTGGGGTGAATTTGTATTTGCAGATACATTCTATATTGTTCAAAAAGCACATAATTTATAGACAGTCAGTCAAGATGGCATTTTATAAATTCTTACTTTGGAAATAAAGCCAGTCTGACTCCAAACCAAAACACAGATTCTAAACAAGGCCTTAACCTAACATGCATTATCTGACCTAAAATGTCACTTCTTTACGCTGATAAAACCTTTAGTTCTCTCAGGACAGTGATTTGAAAGGAATTCGGGGATTTACATATACATATTAATCAATTAAAATCTAACTGAGTGGTGTATGCCCCTTTTGATAGTTTACTTGTAAATTCTGTGTCTGATACTACCTTTCTCACTAACACCTGAAGGAGGACTGAGGTTCTGAAAGCTTGTGTTTTCAAATAAACCGGTTGGACTATAACCTGGTGTCATGTGGTTTCTGACCTTGTTTGCTGATGACAGCAGGTTCAATTGAGGCTTTTAATAAGAAATTAGTATAATCTGTAAAGGAATGTGCATGGTACAGAGAAGATTGTAGGGATGCAAAAATGGTGAATTAACCCTTGCTCATTTGGAGAGCTGGTGCAAACATTACAGTCCAAGTGGCTGTCTTTGTGCTGTGATAGCTCTGTGATTAGCTGTGTGTAAGTGTGCTGTTTGTTAATTTTGCTTTTCTTGCTTTATACAGTCCTGTTACTGCAGCATTGTCAGTGAATGCAAGCAGTGTTCAGAATTCAGAAGCACAGCCGGAATCTGAGACTAGTCCTTCCAAAAGAAATTCCATTCCCAGCTCAGGGGGTAAGTAGCAACCCTTTCAGGGTGAGTAAAAATTAAATGAAGGAATGTGTTCTTGGAAGTGAGTCTTAACCATTTTTAAGGGCACATGTCACAGTCCTACCGATTTCATTTTTATCATGGACAACATCATTTGCTTCTAATTCTTGCTGTGCCTGGGCTCAGTGAGCTCTGCTGTAATTCTAACTTGGTCATTCAGTTCACTTACCAGTTATACCGTGAAATAAAATTATGCTGTTATCTTTTCTATCTGTTTCCACCCCTCAATATTGTTTGTTTCTAAAAACCTGAACCTTGTTAAAAAAATGTTGTATTTTCTACTTTCTAATTACAGAGTAAGTGATCTATGGTAACCTGGCTATTTTGCAGTTTTGATTATTGTAGCTAAGTTCCATCTTAGTCAGTGTTCCCTCTGATTTCCTTTTGTTGTCTGAACCTTTTGTTGTTGCGCTGCACAGTCCCTCTTAAGCTTAACGAGCATGGATCTTAAAGGGCCACAATATGTCAGAGAGCTGCACTCAGATGAGAAGCATAGGTAATCTGAAAGCAAATGCCTTTGTACAGCCGCCTTGTTCCTTGGATGACTGCAATGTACACAGCTTTGAGGGAAATTGCTCCCAACCTAAGGTATAAGCAAAGACTTGGATCTCAGGTCATTAGCTTGAACACAGAGGAACAAGTTCCTTGATTGTATTGCGATTGCTTAAAGGCACAGGTTTTTCCCCTTGTCCGAGGGCAGCATTGTCTTAATTGTATGTGGAGGTTGAATTTGTTTCAAACAATAAAGAAGGTCACAGTGATGGTAGAGAGTTTGAACTGGCATAAAAGCAGGAAAGATCATACCTGTCAGGCATGAGAGTCTGGGTGCTTCAGTTTTTAGCATCTTTGTGATAGGGCTAGAGAAGTCAGAATTGATTATTCCACTGTGCAATATTTCAGGTCTGTTCATGTGAATAGCTAGATAATTTGTGGATTTTTTTCCTCTGTTTTTTAGGCTCATCTTCGTCAACCAGTGAACACATTCCTCAGGCCTCATCCATACCTGCTTCTATCGCACAGCCAAAGTCGCTAGTCACCCGGCTTTTACCTACATGTGTCAGCAGTCAGCCCCCAAATGTGCCCACAAAAGCATCCAGCCCTGTTGCCTCTGGGAGAAAGAGACCAGCATCACCATCGACAAATGAATCTGCAAAGAAGGAGGTTTGAGAACCTGTTATTTCCTATGGTTGAGGATCTCAAAACTGTACTTTGCAATTATTCTAACTTTAAATTTGTTTCTGCTCTTGTCAAAAAAATACTCATTTTGCTGGTTAGTATGCAGGGATTTAATTTAATTTGCCATCTCTTTGGGGATGAAGAGGAAAAGAGAAAGAAGTCATCCTAATGTAAAAATGGAACTGAGCTGATTCTCTCTTAGTAAGTGTCTGTGTGCTTCAGATTTGCAAGACTCGGGACTTTGGTTGTTTGGGTAATGAATGATCCCCTAATTTGACTCAGTAATGTGACATGGAAGGTAGATCAAGAAGCGGCTAGGATTTTTTTCCATTTACATGTTGGATGGGATCATTGAGTTTGGCGAAGCTTGAGAAATTTGCTGATGTGTTTGTAACCTTGGATTTAGTCAAGAAAAGACATCCAAGCTTTGCATGCACCATGGTTGTTGCAGCCCATTGACTGCTAAATAAGATCTCTTTTCCCAAGAAAAGAATGCCTGGCCGTTGAGGATAAGCGAGGCTGCTCTGAATTTTTCAGTAGTTAAGAATGGAGACATTCGAAAATAGCAAGAACTGCAGATGCTGGAGCCAGAGATAACAGTGTAGAGCTGGAGGAAGACAGCAGGTCATGCAGCATCCGAGGAGTGGAAAGTTGATGTTTTGGGTCAAGACCCTTCTACGGAAATGGGGAGGGTGAAAGGAGCTGTGAAATAGGGGGAGGAGGGGTGGGGTTGGGGATAGCTAGGTGGGAGGGTGATGGGTGGATGCAGGTCGGGGGTAGTGGAGATTGGTCGGTGGAAAGGGTGGGGCGGATAGGTGCAAAAGATTATGAACAGGTTGTGTCAGGTCAAGGAGGCGGGAATGAGAGGGAAGTTTGGACGTGGGATGAGGCTGGGGTTTGGTGATTTTAAAACTGGTGAACTCTATGTTCAGGCTATTGGGCTGTAGGCTCATGAGATGGAGCCACATGCTCCTCCAGTTTGCATATGGCGCCACTGTGGCACTGGAGAAGGCCCAGGATGAACACGTCACCCAGGGAGTGGGAGGGGGAGTTAAAGTGGTTAGCAACCAGGAGATGTTGTTGATTATTGCATACAGAATGCAGATGCTCCACGAAACGGTCCCCGAATCTACGCTTGGTCTCACCGATGTAAAGGAGGCCCCATCGGGAGCAATGGATACAGTAGACCGGGTTGGAGGATGTACAGGTGAACTCCTGTTGGATATGGAGTGGAGACATGATGGGATTCTTGTGTTTCAAATGGTCAGTTGACCAGGTGAGGTTTACTCCAGTGTTGCTGAGACCATATAGCCGTCAAGTTAATCTAAAGGCTAAGGTGATAGTGACCAATCTTTGTACATTGAGGAAGTGATATCTAAGATTTGTATTTATTTTCAGAACCCTATATACTCTGATTTCGATTCACCATAATTCTTGCTGCACAGCTTTTTTTTATAGTTTATGAAAGTAGAGTTGAAACCTGTGCTTGTATTGAATGGTGCGTTAGGCTTGAGGGACCAGATGGTTCTGTTTTTATTTCTGATGTTCTGTTCCACTATACCAATGTAATGCAATTAATTCTACTGTAGTAACATATGAATATCTATTTTATCAGTCGTACATCTAGATTTTTACTTTATTTGACATTTAAGACCGTCCATTAAATGGTGGCCCTTAAAGGAATAACAGTCAACAGGTTGCTCTTTGTTTTCTGGTAATTGCTTAGGAACCTGCGATGAACGGTGTAACTGTTGATCAAAATCCATTGCAAAACTTGAAGAGAGTATCGACTCAGACATCTGAAATTTCACCAAAGAGAAAGAAGCTAGATGTAAGTAAACTGATTCTCATTACAGGTCACTAAATTTGTGCACAAATATTCTGTCACTTTTTAGTTATATATGGGATAAGAACCTGTCTTGTTGGCCTAGTATTTATTGCCCAATACTAATTGTCTTTGAGAAGTATAGTAAGCCACCTTCGTTAAACAGCTGCAGTCCAAGTGGTGTAGGGACACCCACAGGGTTGTCAGGGAAGGAATTCCAGCTTTTGGATCAAGGACTGATAGTGAAGGTACAGAGATATAGTTCCAAGTCAAGATGGTGTGTAATTTAAACTTGTGGGCGCTGTCTTTGCTGCTCTATATTATAGAATGCAGGTTTGGAAGGTACTTTGGAAAAAGCCTTAGCAAGTTGCTGCAGTGCTTCGACTGTATGTCAGTGAATTGGCTGGGTGGGGTGCATGTTTAAGGTGGTGAACGGAGTGCCTGTCAAGTGGGCTGCTTTATCCCAGATGATGTTAAACTCCTTGAATGTTGGTGGAGCCACATCTGTACACATCCAAGTTTCTGAAGAATACTCTATCACATTCTTAACTTGTACCTGTAGACGGTGGATAGGTATTGGGCAAGTATCAGGTGAGTTACACTCAGAATTCTTAGCCTCTGACTTCATGCAGCCACAAAATTTCTGGTCAGTGTTGACAGGATTGTTGGAAAGGCTTCACTGTGATGATATGTGGGCAGATGGTTAAATTTCTCTCTTGTTGGAGATGGTCATTTCCTAGCACAATGTGGTGAATTAACTGAAGCCTGAATGGTGCTCAGGTCTAGCCAAATGAGGGCACTGATTCAGTATTTGAGAAGTTGTGAATTTTACTGAGCATTGCAAAGTAATCGGTGAACATCATCAACTCTGACCCTCTGGTGGGAAGGTCATTGAAGCAGCTAAAGGATGCTGCCCTGTCTACAATGATGTCCTGGGACTGAGATGATCGAACTCCAACAACCATAGCATCTTTTGTGCTAGGTATGAATTCAACTAGTGAAGAATATTCTGAAAATTGACTTTAATTTTGCTAGGGTTCCTAGATGGCATGCTCTATTAAATATCTTGACATCAAGGGCAGTTAATCTCCCATCCCTGCTAGAATGACTCTTCTGTCCACATTTGAACCAACACTGTAGTGAGATCTGAAGTCCAATTATGTTGGTGGAACTCCAAGCTGACCATGCTGAACAGGTTGGGTTGTGTAAGTGTCTCTTGATAGTGCTTTCCATTACTCTGCTAAAATTTAAGAGTAGACAAATGGAGCAATTGTTGGATGGTTTGGATTTTGTGGATAAGAGTGTTTTCCTAATTGTTAGCTCGATTCAGTGTTGTGGTTTGTTTTGGAATTTGATTAAGTGTGCATCTAACGGATTTTCATTATTGCTGCTGCGATGTTGTCAGGGCCTGTAACATTGACTATCCGATGTCTTCTCTCTCATGTGTGAACAGAATTCATTTGTCTGTGATGCTTGGGAGCTTAGGAGGAGATTAATGCACATCATTCACTTGGCATTTCTGGCTGAAGATGCTTTATATGCTCCAGACTTATCTTTTGCATTTATCCACCCTGTTGAGAATAGGGTTGTGTACTGAGCTGTGTACTTAGGTTAGTTGTTTGATTGTTCACCACGATTCATGATCAAGTCTAGGAGGACTTCAGAGCTATGATCTGGACCATTGATTGTGGGAATCACTAAGCTGCTTTTGCCATTTAGTGTGCATGTACTCCTGTAATGTAGTTTTACCAGGATGGCACCTTATTTTTAGGTAAGCTGTTTCTACTACTTAAACTAACGTTACTTGTGAACCAAGGTTGGCCCCCTGATTTGATGCAAATGATATACTGAGGGATATGTTGAACCACAAACAGATTGTGGTTGAATATAGTTCTGCTCTTGATGACCCACAGCACCTCATAGATATCTAGTTTTAAGCTGCTAGATCTGTTCTAAATCTATCCCATTTAGGTAATAGTGCCACACTACACGATCGATGGTGTGCTCAGCGTGAAGACGGGACTTTGTCTCCACGAGGACTGTCCGGTGGTCTCTCCTACCAATACTATCATGAACAGATGCATCTGCGACAGGTAGATTGGTAAGGACAAGGTCAAGTAGGTTTTCTCCTCTTGTTGGTTCTCTCACCACAAGCCCACTCCAGCCCTCATGACTTGGCGAGTTTGGCCTTTAATGGTAGCATTCTTCGGGGTGCACATTGAAGCCTCCCATCCAAGATGCATGCTGCATCCTTGCTACCCTCCGTGTTCCTTCAAAGTGGTGCTTAAGATAGAGTTAAAGTAGGGTTGTAGATCATCATCTTGCAACTTCCTAGACCAAGTTTGACCTGGTCCATGAGACTTTATGGGGTTTGGCTCCCTTCAAACTGTATACCATTGTGCCATCATTCCTGGTGAGTCTCTCCTGTAACTCAGTTCTGACATGCCCAAGGACGGTGATGATGGAATCTAGGTAAGGTTGATTCAGTCAAAATGACTGTGGTGATGTTGTTTGACTAATCCTCAGGACAACTCTTACAATATTAGCACAAGGCCGCCAGCTGTTAACAAGGGCTTTGCCTGGTCGATTGGACCTTCTGTCATTCTCAGTGACTTAAGTTTATTCTAACTGGTCTACTCAGCTTTCTTCTTTTCTGTAGTGGTTTGATATAGCTGAGAGGCCTGCTGGCTATTTCAGAATATGACAGAGTTGCTGTAGGTCTAGAATCACATAGGCCAGACTAGATCAGAGACCCTATTTCTTTGCCTGAAGGGCAGTTGTATTCATCATGAATGAGAGTAATGATTTATTCTAGGTGTATAAATTTAAGAAAATTTAAATTAACCCAGCTGCTGTGTGGAGTTTGAGTGCTTGTCCCCAGGGCACTCTGGTCAGTTTAGCTCAGTTGGCTGGACAGTTGGTTTGCAAAGCAGTATGATGCCAATGGCATGGGCTCAATCCCTGCACCTGAGGTAGGGTGGCCCTCCGGTTAAATCACCACTGGTGAGAGAGAGAGCAGCCCTTTGGTCTGATAAGACTATGGCAATTTGAGTCCAGGTATTTGGATCAAAAGTCCAGTAACGTTACCATTATGCTAACATCTCCTGCCTCTTGTCAGGTCCTCTACGTTATCTTTGACAATTCTTGCAGTCGGTACACCCTTACTCTTTGAAACTTTGTCCCTATGTCACCTCACTTTGCTACCTCTTTCTTGTTCTTCTATTGAAGAGCATTCGTTCATTCTCTCCTTGAGAGCATTTCCTTGTTATTGCTGATTCAAAATGTAAATTGTTTTATTTTTACAAAATAAAGGCAAAAGTTGCCCAATGTTCAAAACCCCAGTTCTCTACTTCAGTTTTAGTCCCTTTATAAAATCTGAAGTGTATGGTAAAACAATTAAACAATCAGTGCAGCTTAGATGTGTTTCTTGCTTAATAGGGATCTGGCTGTGTGAAGGAACAAGGTGACTGTTCAAGAAGTCCTGTTAATGAGAAAACAGTCGATGAAAATATGAAGGTAAGAAATGATTCCGTATAATATCAACATTCCAATTTTAGTACCAGGTGTGTGGGAAGCAGTTCTGTAAAGTGCACCAACTTAGAAATTTTATAAAAATACTTGCACATGGCTTTGTAAGGATCTTTGTAAGAAAACAGAAGGTTAATCTTGTGCAAGCTGGTCATGGTGTTAATATATCTTTAATGTAGATAACTTGTAATCTGCGTTTGGCTTTACTTTTTATGCAGGAAGTTGAGTCTGAAGAAAAACTGGCGCCAATCGCATCCAAGGCTTCTGCCTCACAGGTAAGTATTTGTGAAGTGTATCAGCCAGCTGGGAATTACTGCAATCAAATGAGGACCTGCTTTAATGAGTCTTTCCTGATTCTCCATTTCTGAAGGCAGTAATTCATGTTGGGAATACAGCTCCATAGTTACTGGCCACCCACCAGTATCTCATAAATGACAGTTCTTCATTTATGGATATATGCTGTAGGTATCCAGGGTTTTGGGAGCAAAATCACAGCTGTGCTTTATTATTTTTTTGAACTCTTTGACTTCAGGAATGCGGAGGCCAATTGTGCCATTTTCCCCACTCTAACTGAGATCGTACCAAGCATCTAACCCAGGACCACCAAGTTCCGGATTGTATAGTCTCAGGCTAGACATCAATCCAGTAATCCAAGCAGAGGTGCTTCAACTTTGGAGATTTTTTTTAAAATCTGCTTTTACTACGACCAAGTGTCAAATAGTGGGTTACTTGTTGACTAGACCCTTGTTTGAGACCTTTGCACCTGCTGAAACAGTGATCCAGAGCTTTGTCTTTTCACTTCCATTGGAAGTGCATAGGCTCCTCTGCTTGAGCGTTGAGGAATGTAATTGCTAGTTCCAAGGCAAAATTTTGGGTCGTCGATTTGTTGGATCACCTGTTTTATCATGAGGTCACAAAATTGATTTCCGTAAAATTTGTTAATTCAAACTTAAGATGTGAAAGCTACTGGAGGAGTGAATTGAATCAATGACTTATTTGAAGGTACTTGGTTTGTAAAAATTGTTCTTTAGCATGGAAGAGCTGATGGAAGGCTAGAGGGCAGAATGAGTATCTACCAGATTACCAGACTTTCCTTGGTTTGAGAGTGCAAGAATGGTAGTCGGGGATTATCTTCTGATATGAGGAGCTATGTTCCACTGCTGTCCTGTTCTTCCTCTGACTGACATCACTAACTGGTACTATTCAGCCGCTAATATTGAAGTCCGCCTTTGTTGCAGTACTATGCTACAAGGCACACAGCCTCCACTATTAAACATTCATTACAGGATTAACACTTTTTTCACACTACATTCTTCTACCATCTTTTAAAAGTTAGTATTCCTGATAAATTGTGTAAACATAAATCACAAATACAAATCAGGAGAGCACAACTAAGCAAGTAATTTTGGTTTAGTACTTTATATGCAGGATAATAACTCTTAACAGGTTATCCAGGGCAATGGTGGTGATGTAGATTCTGGTGCTTTTCATTCATTCATAGATGAGGGCATCGCTGGCTAGGCCAACATTTATTGCCCATTCCTAATTGCCCAGTGGATAGTTAAGATTCACCCACATTGCTGTGGATCTGGAGTCACATATAGGCCAGACCAGGTAATGGCACTTTGCTTCCTTAAAAGACATTAGTGAACCAGATGGGTTTTTTCAACAATCAACAATGGCTTCATAGTCATCGTTAGACTCTTATTTCTTAATTTTTTTTTATTGAATTCAAATTCCATTATCTGCCATAGCAGGATTCGAATCCAGAACATTAGTAACAGTATAGCGGTAATACCATTAGGCCGTCAACTCCCCTTGTTTTGTTCAGGCCTGTACATTGCAGCATTTTTGTATATATTAATTATACTGAGCCTTTTGAATACTTTTTTGCAAATATTTAAAGTTAGTGGTAGCACAGTCATCTGCCATTTTTCTTTTGAACTAACACACAAATTATTCTTTCTTTTTGCATAGGAACCAACGAGCACAGAGCTGTCTGATGTCTCTTCCCTTCCAGTAAACCCTGTTCCAGTAGTTAAAAATTCGATAAAGCTGAGGTTGAATCGGTAGACCTGCTACCACTCCCGGGGCCATAGAAATCAAAAATAACCAGGACAGACAGAGACAAACACAAACGCAGACATACACAGACACACATGCGCATATACATGGAAATAAAACATCTACCAGAAGAGTCATCTGATCACTGGCTACAGCTTCCTCCGTGGAAACATTTTAAAAGTTCTTTGAACGCAGGTGATTGTGATGTGGTGAAGTTGGACGATAAAGGCTGTAGATTTTTTTTTAAAACATGTCCTATAAGACTTGATCATTGTTGAATCTGGAGTCTAGTAGAACTCGACCAGTAAAGACGATGCACTGCGGACTGACTGGTCGTGCAGGGAGTGCATCATGGCGGAGTACTGCTGATGTGTTGGCAACAGTTATGTTAGTTGAAACTGTTTTTTTCTGAAAAACCTTTTTCTTTTCCTGTTATCTTTGCTCTTAAACTGCCTTGCAATTGTGAAAAAGTTTTAAAAAATTTTGTTGACCAATTGTTTAGTCACATGGGCATTATTTGTGAATTTAGGTTAGTGATGGTATTGAGAGAGATTTAATATTGAAGGATTCTTGTACCAGACCATGCCATTATTGATTTCAGGGCACATAATCTACATTATCCACCTATTTCTTTTCTGAATTTTTTAGTTGCTACTAGGAAGAACTTTATTTCTGGAGCATTGTATGACCTGGAAAGGGGGCAGTAGCTTCTGAGTTTTTTTCCCCCCCGGTTGCTTCCATTGTTTTTGTGCTGCTTTCTTGACAAACTGGATATTAATTTGATTATTTTATTCCTGTTTATGCCACTATCAGGGACTGTTTGGGACTTATTTTGCTTCAGAGCTACATTTAAGATGGTGGATGTCATGTTCGGCCACCGGATGTTTCCTTTTGGAATTGCTTTCAAATCAAGTCATAGTGGCTGGGATTTAATACCTGCTACCACTGGGATGAGTCATTGCTTTACCAGTTCCTTTTCAATTTGAAATCCAATGTAGAACTCATCCATATTTGACGTTGATTGAATTCATCTATATTTACATTGAATGAAACTTCAGTGATTTGCTCTTGCTTGGGAAAAGCAGATTTCTGTGCTTTGCATGGCTCATGGTTTTGCGAACTGCAAGGTTGTTATGCATCGCTCAAGCATGTGGGTTTAGAACTCTCCTCCTGTTTAGCCAAGCATCTGGTGTTTGTCTACATTAATCTATTTGACCCTGGAAAATGGGTGTTACCATTGGGCTAATTCTTTTCATTCAAGTATCCCCAATGCACAAGCAAGTAACTCCCTTTCCATAAGAGCTACCATTAGCAATACATTTTAAAAACTAAAACCACCTTTGGATCAACGCAAAAACGCTTTTTTGCTGGTCCTCCAATTTGTCACTTTTAAATCCCTTTAGAACAGATGTGTGGGATGAATATTCTCCAGGTATGTGATGTCAAGTAACTTGAAATCTGTGTACAATGAGCCAATTTTTAATGTCCACTTTTTAATTTTGCCACCGCATTAAATGACGAAATATCTTTTTGCTGGTTTTATGATTTTGGGATGTGTTATGACCACCTGAGATCTGCATGATCTGGCAACATGATTGAAAATCAAACTCTTCGTTAGATTTAATGCATTCAACCAGGTCAGAAATGAACATAATTTTTACATAACCTTTTGGTCAGTCCAGCTAACACTTAATTATGGAACCAAAATTATGGAGCTACTCTCTGTACTGGGCAAGCAGGTTCTGTGAATCAGTCGCGTGCATTTATTTAAAGGAAAAGATTTATAAAGAGAACTTGTGATTCAAATGTTGCCGTATTTGAACTTGAGCTAATTAGTATGAGCAGGTTGTTGGCTCAGTCCTTGACCATTTCACTCGGAGCCAGAACTAAACCAGATATAAGTATATTTGCTACTGGTGGGTAGGGATCAGAATTTTGTGGCTCTCCATTGTATAACTTCTGTTGTTGAATTTTTAATGAGATAACAAAGAATTTCCTCTGTGAATTGAATCCTTCTGCACTTGCATAGGTTTAAACAATTTGAGTATTTTTCATCAGTTGCATTGAGACATTATAAACTTTTTGGCAATGGTCAAGTCCTCTCGAACGTACAAATGATATTTTATGGTTTTAATTTATTATTAATATATATTTAAATGTGCTTCCCAAATGCTCCTCCAAAACAAAACTTTGCAGACAGTCTAAAACTTTACCATGAGCTGAGAGTGAAATTTTCAAATTCTAATAGCTTGTAGTACGGGTCATTGGATCTGCTGTCTGAGACCTGTTGAAATTTGAAAAACAACAGCTGTATTTGAAATAACTTTTCATGTTGTGTACATGCTTCATTTCTCCCTTGTCCTTTCGAAAGCCTGTTCTTTTTCCTGTCAAGGGAAACATTTCTGATTATAAGGTGGTTGCCTCCCTGTAGTCCAGCTAACTATGTATCTTTGCAAAATATGTAAACTCAATTGGCTGTCCTCACTTAAGTTTTACAGGAGTTTATGTTCAAGTCTTTTAATTTGGGGTGTACTGTAATTTGTGAAGGACTGTTTATCAAATTATCTTCTCAATTTCTTTCCAAAGAGGATCTCCCAGAAACCTCCAGGCTTTCATTTTTAATTGTGCTGTCATGTTAATTTCTGATTTTCCACATCTTGATGTGTATGATATGCTTAATACAGCAAAATATTTGACTGTTCTGAGGGAAAATGGGAAAGATCCATTAAAACTTCAGTGATGATCGCCAACGTAGGCTCCACAGGAAACAATTGTGCTTGCAGTTTGGGTGCCTTGCTTTCATCAGTTTGGACATCAAATTGTTGGATGAGTCTATGACCAATTCTTCAAGTTCAGCTATTTAAATTGTTCTGCTTGCATGTAAAAAGAAAAATGCTAACCATTTTTTAAAAAGTCTTAGATTTGCTTCCTTTTCAATAGGTCTGTTAGTAAGAAAGAATGATAGGGAGGGGGATAAAGAGAGTTGCGGTTCCCTCTTTCAGTGAAATGGAGTTCCTCAAAACTCTTTGCCTTTCTTGCAGCATTGTCCTGGCTACTGTAGTGGTTTTGATTTTTAACAAAAACAGTTTAAAGATTATCAAAGTCTGTTTTGCCATTGCAGAATTTGGAATATTTCTTTTGAATGGGTTTTACACAGAATAAATCCAGAAGTTTTTTGCTTCTGAACTTAGAAAGGAAAAATATTGATCCTGGTCTTCCCCATCCAAGGAACTAGTTACATGTATCTAGTGGAGGAAATTATCCAAATAATTTTAGATGGGAGAAATGATATGTATACTCTGACCTTGACAGTGTTTGCATTATGGGATGTACTATATATTATGTCTGATTTGAGTTACTTTTTGCCATGCCTTTTGTATAAAGCCAATTTTTAAGGCTTTGTGTAAACATTCATAAGAGATTTATTGCCAATATCCTTCAAATTGGGTTGAGGAGGAAAAACCTTAAACACAATTAAGATATGCAGCATATAGCAGGGAGTAATATTTTTGCCATTTAGTTGGTGCAATATATTTGTTATTGCATCCCCTATTTTGAGTTATGAATGGCAATTCTAATGTACGTGCGTGTTTGCATTGCCTGATCCAGGAAGCTAGGGTTCATACTTGTTGATTTATATATTTGTATTATCGAAGGTTGATTTACCCTTCCCATTAATTAATAATATACTTTCCAGTTTACTCCTGCTTGGATGCATTTAAAATAGAGCAGAATGGAATTTTCTGTTTTCCCCAACCCTGGCCAAATAACATTAACTTTTATTCCAAACATTCCTACTAAGAAAATATTAAAGTTGTATATCTTCTATATATGCCTTGCCTGGATAACCGGAATATTTCTTTTATGTGCTGATGACATAACCCATTTTTAGGTTTGCGGTAGGTGACCAGATGGCATATTACCTGTTTAAATTTGGTAACACTGGGTCCTTTTAATATGGCAGCAACAGATTATATGAAAGCTATTCAATGGTGCTAGATATATCTGCCCAGGCTTTCATGAGTGCTCTGTTTCAGTGTGTTTAAGCCAACTATGTTTAATGAAACCTTTGTGTGTGTGTGTGTGTGTGTGTGTGTGTGTGTGTGTGTTGCTTCAGTTTTGAATGCTTTTGTCTGCTGATGGTTCCATTGCCACACTGCATGAATAATGGTTATGAAACAGTTCTTTCTATCAACCAGCGGTTTTTTTTAATTTTCATGTGAATGAATTGGTGCTGGACTGACCTGTTCCCATTTAACAGGGTAATCATTAACTGGCTTTTAATGAATCAAAGTTTTTAAACATCAAAAGATTTCACAGTTGTCACTCTTAAGGAATCAAAATGTTTGTTTACCTGCCTGAATGTGAAATCAAGCTGTCACAAATTGTGATTGGGTGGGTTATTTGTGGACAAGCAAGAATTGAAAAAGCTTCTATGTGAATACTCATATCGTTCTGCCAAGATGAGTGCTAAACTATTTTATTTTTTCACTGTTGGTGAACTCGTCATAGTTTTCCCTTCCTCACAGTTTAACTGTTGCTTTCGCAAGCTGTACTCTGCAGCTCACAGATGGAGTTCTGTTTTTTTCATAGTGTCTGTACACTAGTAATTTTCAGAAGCTATTTTGTATAGAGATGTATTTCTTCATTTAAAATAAAAAAAAATTGCAGCACAAAATTATGTGATTTCTTTTTTGTTTGAGTTCAGGAGTGATGAGCAGGGCTTACTTGGAAAAGGCTGTGGATTTAAGTCCAGTTCCAAGATTTAATCACAAAATTGAGGTCAACACTTAAGTGTAGTAGTGTAAGGGAAATATAACACAGTAAACTGTTGTTTGGGGAATCTTGCTATGTGCGTTTTAGTTTTTCTGTTTTCTGCATTAGGACAGTGACTAATTCAGACATGCTTCATTTGGCTTAAATTATGTTGGGATTTGTGAAGATTGTGACTGTTTCTCCATTGCCCTATTCCACTGAATTAGGAATATTTTCCATTTTGGTGTCATTTATATTTAAGGTCAATATAACAAACATAGCAGAAGGAGGCCATTTTGGTCCTTGAGCTTGCCCCATCATTCAATAACATTATGGCTAGTCTGTTTGTTGTGAGTTCCACATTTCCCTAATAACATTTGCTTCCTGTCCCTAACGAGTCTGTACACCATTGCTTTAAAAATGTTCAATGACCCTGCTTCCATCATCTATAGTCAATGTTCCAAATTTGCAAGATGCTTGTGGGGGGTGGGGGAAGAGGGAAGGGGGAAGGGAAGAAACTCGTCTTTATCCCAAAAAGGGTGACCCCTAATTTTAAAACAGTTTTGGACTTGCCTATAAGAAGAAACATCCTTTCTATGTCTACCTTGTCAAGGATCTTCTACACTTCAGTCAAGACCTTCAATGGAAACAAAGTGGGCACCTTGTCCAGCACTAAGCTGAAGACTGAGTGTTTTTACTGGGTCTATCGAACCGCTTTGAAGGCAAATAAAAGTGAAATATTGTAGACACTGAAAATGTGAGGTTGTTGACTTGCTCGCCAAACTGGCTGGTTGTAGTTCAGATGTTTCATCACCATGCTACGTAACATCAGTGTGGCCTCTGATGAAGCGATTGTAATCCTACTCCACATAGTATTTATATGATCCGATCTGTTGAGGTGTTTTTTGTCATGTACGGTTCTTTTTTGCAAGGGTTTGTAAAAGGGGTCTAATTCCACATTTATTGATAGCGTTACAGATGGAGAACCAGGCTTTGACGAATTCCCGAGCTACAAATCTTCGCAAGAGCCTTAAACTGGAAATCTGAAACAAAATTCTTAAAGTGGGTTCCATAAGCTCCTCTTAACATCAGTAAGAAAAAAGGCTGTAATGTTATTCAGGTTGTTTTTATTTCCTCACGTAACTGTTTAGAAACTTAAAGCCACAGAGCTGCTATTACAGACCTTTTTCTCTGACCTGCTTCTCTCTGAAAGGAACCTCACTAGCATTGTCTTGTTCTAAAAAACTGATCTCTGTCTATCTCCCTGTGTAATTAAATATCTTGTTGCTTTGAAAGGACTGAACTGTTTACCTCCCAGGGTTTTTAAAACATCATTCAAGTAAATGTAAAAATGTTTCCAAATAACGCTCCACACAAGTCTAAAATGGAACTAAAACCATATTGTCCCCTCTTAAAACATGACACAAAAACATGTCAACCTTAAACCTATACGTGGTTCTGTCCGAGGAAGAATCCAAATTTCCAAATACTTTGGCAACCTTCATGACATTGTGCTGTTTGGAAGTCCAATGCCATAGTCTTTACCCGTTGCCCTGCAGGTTTTTATGTATTTATTCATTTCTGTTACAAATTACTATTGAATCTGCAATTCAGGGATAGCTTGACCAATTTCAAACTCCTATGCAGACTGTATCTGCTCTCTTGTCTTACTTCTACCAATTGGTTAAATCTGTACCCTCTGGCTACCACCTCTTGAGCCAGTGGAAACAATTTCACCACATTATCAAATGCTTAATTTTAAACACCTGGATTAAATCACACTTTGATATTTGCTCTAAAGAGAGAAATTCTTTGTCCTAGTGTCTGCGCCAGCTTGGAGTTGAGGCCACCTGCTGTAGACTAAGAAGCATCAGTTGTTCATTCAGATTTGCGATAAGCAGTGTCCAAATTATGAATTTGTCTATAGAAAGTCTACAGTGTCCATATTTAAAAGAAAGATGAATAATCCCTTTTCACTCAAAAGTTCAATATTTCTACAGATGGCTGAAATACATACTGCTAGTTAGTGTTAAAAGACTGGATTTCTGCTTAGTATTGGAATCTGCATTTTGTTTGGCAGTCTTGAGGTGCTTCTATTCAGTCATAAGAAATCACAAGTTATTATCTGTCAGTTACAACAGTTTCGAAGAATCAGTATTTTTTTTACAAACTAATATTTCCTTTTTCCGGTTAAGAGTTTACATATATAACATAATCCTTTGTATTTTATGATTACAGTTGTTTGAAATTGTCCTATTTTGAAATAGGACTAGATATTTTCTTCAATCTTGTGCTCACATGCATATCTTGAGATTCCTGTAAGCTTGTTCAGTGTGATCTGCTTTAAGTACAGCCAGACTGCAGGTCTTGCTCTCTGCTGTTCTGACTGGCTGAGATAGAGGCTGCACTTTCCCTTGATTAATTTTCACATTTTATTTTAAGAAGAAAGAATGAAAATGTCCACCATACTTTTTATTCTCTACCACCAGGGGCCATAGTTGTTCTTTGAAGCCGTTATAATGCATCAATATTGAAGAACAAAAACTGATTGGGAACAGAGTTGCAAGACAAAGATGTAGATTTTTTTTTTGCCCTTTACCATCCTGTTGTACATGATGCAATGATGTTGGAGTTTTACACAGTATGATGCCAAAAAAAGACCATTTGGCCCAAACCAGTCCATTCCAATATTTAAGATAACCAGTTATAGAACTGGATGAACACAGCAGGCCAAGCAGCATCAGAGCAGCAGGAAAGCTGTCGTTTCGGGTCTGGACCCTTTAGAAATGGGGGAGGGGAAGGGGATTCTGAAATAAATAGAGGGAAAGGCAGGTGGAAGATGGGTAAAGGAGCAGATAGGTGGACAGGAGATAGACGAGTTAAGGAGACGGGGATAGAGCCAGTAAAGGTGAGTGCAGGTGGGGAGTTAGGATGGGGGTTGGTCAGTCCAGGGAAGACGGACAGGTCAAGGAGGCAAGGATGAGGCTGGGAGGTGTAGTCGCAAACCACTTCAATTCCCCCACCCACTCCTTAGACGACATGTCCATCCTGGGCCTCCTGCAGTGCCACAACGATGCCACCCGAAGGTTGCAGGAACAGCACCTCATATTCCGCTTGGGAACCCTGCAGCCCAATGGTATCAATGTGGACTTCATAAGCTTCAAAATCTCCTCTCCCCCTACCGCATCCCAAAACCAGCCCAGCTCGTCCCCGCCTCCCTAACCTGTCCGTCCTTTCTCCGACTTATCCCCTCCTCCCACCTCAACCCCCCCCCCCACCTCCTACCTACCAGCCTCATTCCCACCTCCTTGACCTGTTCGTCCTCCCTGGACTGACCTATCCCCTCCCTAACTCCCCACCTACACTCACCTTTACTGGCTCCAACCCTGCCTCTTTGACCTGTCTGTCTTCTCTCCACCTAGCTTCTCCTTTATCCATCTTCTATCTGCCTCCCCCTTTCTCTCTTTATTTCAGAATCCGGCCCCCCCCCCCCCCACCCACCCTCCATTTCTGAAGAAGGGTCCAGACCCGAAATGTCAGCTTTCCTGCTGCTTGGCCTGCTGTGTTCATCCAGCTCTACACCTTGTTATCTCACATTCTCCAGCATCGGCAGTTCCTACCATCTCTGAATCCATTCCAATATTTATAATTGGTGAGTCTATTTTCTATTCTAATCTAAATCTGGCATTGTAACCATTTATTCCCTCTTTCCCCTATTGATTTCTCTACTTGCTTTTTCTTGTACATTTTATCTATTACAATTTCTTCAACTGATGCCTCTATGGTACATTGTTCCACATTATCACCGCTATTGAGCTTAAAGTTCCTTCTGATTTCCCCATTGGATTTCTTAGTGACTAGCTTATTGATGGCCTTTTAGTTTTTCTCTTCCCCAAAAGAGGCAATATTTTATATTCACACTCACTTTCATTATTCCCTAGCAATTCATTTCCTATTAGTTGTTTGCCAATCTCAATCAATTAGTCCACGATGAGTCCAGACCTGAGGTTGATAAAGCACCTTGGTGAATATTTTTCACCCAAATGCAATTGATCCCCTCAACCAAACTAATTTTATTGTCATTTTGTAGAGACACAGCTATCACAACTGATTTATGCATGCTACCTTTTTGAACAAATCAATCCCATTTCTTCTGTCTTCTCTGGGACTCGGCCAGATCCATTGATTGCTCACTTGCTCATAGGACCTTCCTTTATATCTTCAAACTTGGATAGTTTTCTTCAGTTCTACTCATTTCATAGGTGCAGTGAAGTAGGTTCTGAGAGTCTTTATGATCTAGTCCCTTAGAATCTAAACAACAATTGTATTCTACCTCCCAACATTCACTCTCGCTGGTTGGAAGGCAGCTCAGACCACCATTTGAGGACGTATAGGAGTAGGTTTAAAACAACAATGCTGGATCAGTTCCTAATGTCCGTACCCCAGGGAAGAGTAAAGAACAAACTCTTCAAGTAAGAATTACACAATCATTCCTTGTTACCCAATCCCCTCTGTCATTCTGGTTACTCTCTTCTATAACCTTCTACCTACATTACAACCATGGCTATGCTTCAAGAAATGTACTTGTAAAAGTTTTGAAAAATCCTGAGGTTGTGAAAGGTGCAATGTAAATGCAAGTGTCAACTTGTACCAGAGATAGTAGGAAGTGCCGATGCTGGAGAATCTGAGATAACAAGGTGTAGAGTTGGATGAACACAGCAGCATCAGAGGAGCAGGCAAGCTGATGTTTCGGGTCTGGACCCTTCTTCAGAAATGGTGCTTCTACCAACTTGTATCAACCCATTTTGTATTCTCTCAGGATGGTCACAACAAAATACTGATGACTAATTTAATATTCGTCAACTTTAAAAATAGTGGTTGATTCAAATTTCTAGCCAAGGACTATTGGTCTCAGTATTGTCC